AAGATACTCCCAATTTTGACCGTTGTTCGTATGCTTTTTTTCAAAATCTAGTTTCAAAATTACCCCCTTTTCTGTTTCCTCTATCCACCAATCTATTACTTCATTGGCTTACTAAAATCCCATCTAAAAATGTCCTCCCCCCAATGAAAAGCGGTACTGAAGATTCTCCAATTATTTTAGGCAAATACTTCTTGAGTCTAGAAGCTAGGAAACCTTAGACAAAATTTTGTTACAGAGATCCAATTAAGGCTAATTAGGTCTATAATTCTGAAACACCACCTGGATTCTCAGTCTTAGGTAAACAATGTGATGAAAGAGCATTAATACCCTTTTGCTAAGCATCCATTATAAAAATTCCTTGAAGAATTGCCAAGATATCCTCCTTTTTAAAAACTTTCAAACACTTTTGAAAGCTAAAACAAATTAAAACCTTCAGGGCCTGGTGCCTTATTTCATTCACTCTCTCTAATAGCTCTTCCCAAAAATCTCCTCCTCTTGGGAAAAAGGAATAAACCAGCCCATTAGAATTCATTATTTCATGCCCAATTGGTCTTGAAAGCACCTTGGAGCTTAGGATCGAACTTGGCCACTCTTCAACAGAATCTGTTTTTAAAGTGTTTAGCTACCTCAACTTTGATCTTTTGTGGATCCTCATGAATCTCCCCATCCACTTCAATTGAATTCAGCAGATTTCTATTCTGCCTGCTTGTAGCTATGACATGAAAGAATCTTGTATTCTTATCTCCTTTTAAACTCCAATTAACTCTAGACTTCTGCCTCCATAACCATTCTTCTCTCCTATTTAATGACCAAACTTCCTTTCGAACTTCTCTCCTTCTTTTAACCTCATTCTGCATAAGTCTTCTAGATTCAGCCACTAGACCAATTGCATGGAGTTCCTCCTCCGCTGTTTTCAATGAATGAGTAACATTGCCAAAGACCTCTACATTCCATTTTTTCAAAACTGAACGTAGAACCTTCAGCTTATTCATAATAATAAAACCTGCCCAGCCAGTAAAAGCAGAATCAACCCAAGACTTTTTCACAACTTCTCCAAATTTCGGATGTGATGTCCAAGCGTTTATGAACCAGAATGGCCTTGGGCCCCAATCCCTGCCATCCTCAACCAGTAGCAGGGGGCAATGATCTGAAACACTTCTCTCTAGACCCCATAACTTTAAATTCAACTTTTCCACCCACTCCGTTGACATGAGTGCTCTGTCTATTCTACTCCATCTTTCACCTTCATTAGAATTGCACCAAGTGAACTGTCTTCCCAACATGGGTAAATCAAGAAGCTCCATATTTTCTATAAATAGATTAAACTCTTTCATCCCTCTGTCTCTTCTAGAGCACCCCCTTCTTTCCCCAAGATTCCGTATCTCATTGAAGTCACCAACTAGACACCAGGGATTATAGAAGCTAGGTCTCAACCCATACAGGACATTCCAGAATCTACTTCGCTCATTAACTTCATTAGGAGCATGAACATTGACAAGAACACAGTTAAAAAAAGGAAGAAGAGTACCTGAGAGTACAATGCAATGCCTTGTACTACAACACTGGGATAACTTGAAAACAGTTGGTTTCCAAATGCACAGAAGCCCACCAGCTCTCCCTTCAGAGTCGACTGCCATGAATTCCATTTCATCCACAGGCCATAATGATTTTACAAAATCTGGTGTAACCTCACTTTTCTTTGTCTCTTGGAAAAAAACAAAATCAATTTTCCTATCCTTAAGTAGTAATTTGACCCTCCTTCTCTTTACAGATTTACCCAAACCCCTTACATTCCATGATAAGAGCTTCATAGAGACACATTACATAACACCTATAACCACCTGATACATTCAATCAATTCTGCGCATCAGCTCCCAACTGTGTATGTACAGCCCTTGAAGCTACCTGAACTTTATCCTTGATCTCCATAGCCTTTAATTTTTCCTTCACCTCCTCTTCCTTCCCACCGAAACATATGCCTAAGGCTTTGCCCATACGTATTGTTGCTTCTGCCTCCTCCTGAGGCGTCAAAACTCTATGAAAGTTTCTCCCAATCACCTCCAATTTTGATCGTGCCCCAGACTTTACTTTACTTGTGTCTTTCCTTTGTGCATCCGATCTTGCTTTTAACCCAGCTTTACCTCTTAGGACAGCACCTCTGCTCCAGCTTCCCATACCCACTGCACCTCCATTCCTTCGTACTAACTTTTTCCTCTGTTTTAATTCTCCTTTTTTACCAACTGTGTTGCCACTATCAACTGAAGCCTCAACACGAAGTGATGATGACCCAACATCCTGGGCCTGTGACACCTCATTATCTGAATTACTATGACTACCCATGAGTCCTAATCTAGGCCCATCACACTGGGTATGAACCAAATCCACTTCCGATGTTATCCCTTTCTTTTTTGTCTTCAGCCCATTAGAGAAGTTGCCATTGCAACCTTCATGCTTTGTTTGCCCCATACACCCACTAGGCCTTGTATCTGCCCAACTAGTAGTGGTAGTGAGATTTACATTTGGGCCTCTCACCCCAGCACCTACACTGTTATTCACCACTGGGTTTTGAATATGGCCCAAGTTTACTTCCAAGCTAATACCAGGCCTATTTCTAGCTGACCCACCCATACACTGAAGCAACCCGGGTGTAGCTATCTGCTTATCAACACATAGATTATCATCATTGTTTTGTAGGCTGCCCTCTGCCACCGCCATCTCCATACGCTCCTCAACCACCAAGTTGTCCCCCACTCCACTGACCGTCTCCTCTACCACTGTGTCCTCCTGTTTGGTTACTTGATCATCATCAACAGCTTCATCTTCTACAACCAAATTAACACCAGATTGATCACCAACATCTATCCCAACAGATTGATGTTGGACTACCTTGTTTGAGCTCCGATCCTCCCTCGCCTCACTGGACACAATGCTACCACAATCAACTACAAGCTGCGGTTGTTCTTCGCAAACCAAGACTGAATGAAAACGACCTTTGCATTCCAGCTTGATCGTTTGATTTATGCACTCCATACATTGCGTTGCAACTCTAATTCTTCCATGACTAAAGGACTGTGGTTGACTGATATTTCCATCCAAACTAAGCACACTGCCCCATATACTCCCAATCTTGTTGAAGCTGTTTCTATTCCACATACTCAGAGGAACACCATAACACCTGAGCCACAGACACCTCTCTTGCTCTGTATATACTCCTGGTTCCCAAAGCTTGACAGATTCGCACCATTCCTTGAACCATTCTTTTACCAATTCAAACTTTGACAGCATATTCTCCTTCGATGAGAAAGTCAATATAGCAGTCCTACCACCCCCATTTCTAACCAGCACATGCCCCAGTCCTTTCTCTTTTAGCACCATCGCAATACCCTGCATCGAGAACTCCGATTTGAACTTTAGCAACACACTATCATACAACCAGCCATGCCCTTCTTCATTAACCAGAATCGTATATCTTTCATTACCCCCCTGTCCCTTAGCGCCTGCTTTTACCACATCAACAAAAGATCTTCGAAGACCCACCTGATCCCCATTATACCTTCCTTCCTCGACCTTATCACCACTATTCCTTCCAACCTAATCCCTTCTCACCAATCTATTCGCAATACGACCATACTCTGCTATTTTGACTTTAAGTTCCTTATCCGCCACCCACAAACCATCTGTTTTCTGTATAGCCACCTTTGCAGCTACTGAGCAATCAAATCTAACAAAACCAAATCGAGTATTGGTATTCTTCCTTCTCTTTTGTGGTATAAACACATCCTTCACTAAACCAAACTTGGAGAACAGATGAAACAATGATTTCGGATCCATATTGGAAGGGATGTTATCCACAAACACAGAGATTAAGCCCTTAATGCCCTGGTTACTCCATACTTCACTCTTTTTCCTTTGCTTCACTACTGGTATCCACCCACCGTTCTCCATTCTCACTCTCCCTTATTTTCACCGGTGTCTAATGGACTATTACGGCTGTTACGTAATACCGAAACAGCCGATATTTGAACACAACTTTTAATAACAAAAACATTAGTGTCACTATTTTCATCAGTAAAACGTAACTTTCCTTCCCCTGTCTATATACTTGAAGTGAAATGTAACCATCACCTGTAACTATCATCCACAAATAAAATAAAATTGGTGTCATCATAATATAAGTATAAAGGGTGCCCTTATTATTAGGATAACTTTGCTTATTTTTTATTTTATTTATTTATTTATTTATTTATTTTGTCAGGGTAATTTTGAATGAATGAATAAATGTGTAATTCAAAAGTTGCAAGAGAGTGCTAAGGGAAATTGATCTGACTTATTGTAGTACAAATTTTAATTAGAAATAGGGTCTGTGACATTAAGCCCAGGGAGATTAAACAAGCAGTTGTTAATCATTTCAAGGTGCACTTTGATGAAATGTGGAGAGTCAGGCCTGGAATTGGTGGGCTCATCAAGAAGGTGCAGTCAAGCAAAGGATATACTGGAAAAAGAATTTTTTGAGTCAGAAGTGTGGAGAGCAATAAAAAAGTGTAATGGCAATAAAGCTACAGGACCAGATAGGTTTAGCATGTTATGTTTTCAAAAGGGGTGGAAAGTTACGAAGAAAGATATAATGAAGTTCATGAATGAATTTCATAAAAATAGCAAATTGGGGTATGCAGTAAATTATTCCTTTATTACTTTGATACCTAAAAAGCATTGCCCATCATCTCTTGGTGATTACAGGCCTATTAGCTTGATAAACTGTGTGTATAAAATTTTATCTAAGGTTTTGACACACAGGTTCAAGTAATTGTTGCCTTCTGTAATTGACAACGTTCAGTCAGTTTTTTTGGGGAGGGAGAAACATCATGGATGGAGTTTTCATTGCTAATGAGGCTGTGGAACGGTGGAAGAAGTCCAAGAGAAAAGGAATAATCCTTAAGTTGGATTTTGAAAAGGCATATGATTCGGTAAACTGGGAGTTCTTGTATTCAATGATGACCAACTTTGGTTTTAGGGAAAAATGAGTGAGGTGGATGAAGACTTGTATCTCTACAGCTAGAGTCTCAGTGCTAGTTAATGGTTTACCCACATCAGAATTTTCTCCAATGAAAGGCCTTAGTCAAGGTGATCCACTATTATCTTTCCTTTTTAACATTGTTGCAGTGGGCCTGCAATTATTGATGGAAAGAAAAAAAGAAGTGGGTTTGATTAGAGGAGCTTCAATAGGACAAAATGAGCTGAAATTATCTCACCTCCATTTTGCAGATGTTACCATCATATTTTGTGAAGCAGATTGTAACGCTCCAATTTTCATGCCCAAATCGTAATACAATAGTTATGGCTCTTCAAAGTAAAACTGATAATAAATCCTCATACTTGCATTACATGATGAAAATAGTCTTCATGCGATAATACAAACCCCCATTTCTAACCAGCACATGCCCCAGTCCTTTCTCTTTTAGCACCATCGCAATTCCCTGCATCGAGAACTCCGATTTGAACTTTAGCAACACACTATCATACAGCCAGCCATGCCCTTCTTCATTCACCAGAATCGTATATCTTTCATTACCTCCCTGTCCCTTAGCGCCTGCTTTTACCACATCAACAAAAGATCTTCGAAGACCCACCTGATCCCCATTATACCTTCCTTCCCCGACCTTATCACCACTATTCCTTCCAACCTGATCCCTTCTCACCAATCTATTCGCAATACGTCCATACTCTGCTATTTTGACTTTAAGTTCCTTATCCGCCACCCACAAACCATCTGTTTTCTGTACAGCCACATTTGCAGCTACTGAGCAATCAAATCTAACAAAACCAAATCGAGTATTGGTATTCTTCCTTCTCTTTTGTGGTATAAACACATCCTTCACTAAACCAAACTTGAAGAACAGATGAAACAATGATTTCGGATCCATATTGGAAGGGATGTTATCCACAAACACAGAGATTAAGCCCTTACTGCCCTGGTTACTCCATACTTCACTCTTTTTCCTTTGCTTCACTACTGGTATCCACCCACCGTTCTCCATGACAAAACGATCCAATTCTCTATCTTGTTTTCGGTTGATAAATGTTCCGATTAATTCCTTGTTTCTCTCACCTTTGCAGTTTTGTGGATTTTCTTGAATCCGTGCATGTCGATGATCTGTGAACACAACACACAGCATCATACATCAAAATCAAAATCAAAATCAATAATAAATAATAAAAGAAACCCCAAGTATTGAGCAGAAATGCAATTACAACTAGTTTTACAATGACTGAATCGTTTCCTGAGAATGAAATTGAAACTCTGCGATTGATGAGAAGTCGAAGCTAAAACTAAAATTAGTCCAAATTTCGCATATTTGTGAACAATTTCCCCAAACCAAACCTTGAATTCATGGTGATATATACATGTTTGTGTGTGTGTGTGTGTATATATATATATATATATATATAGAGAGAGAGAGAGAGAGAGAGAGAGAGAGAGACATGCTTCACAATATCATTACAATTTCTTCTTTGTTTTTCACTTATTTATTTGACAATCTTTATCACTCTGAACTTGAATTTTCTATCTGTGTGGGTGATTTTCTGACCACACTGCCAAATAGGTACCCAGCTGAAGAGCACTCTCTACTTCTCTGGGGTTTTCGCGGTGCCGCCGAAGTGCTTCTCACTGAATTCGTTCCCCTTCCGCAAATGAATGTGCAGATATTATTGAAAAAAACAAAAAATGAAAAAACAGAATGTGCAGATATTATAATTGGAAAAATTCTAATATGCATTCTCGCATGGAGTCCGGATCGTCTGCCGTGGTTTC